AATGAACTTGAACTGTTTAGAGTTTCTGTGGATGTGCCAGTTTATTGAATTCCGCGCGGCAGCTCCTTCTTACAGTCTTTATATACTACTAACTGTTCATACTAATCCAAATTTAGTTCCTCGAAACGATATCACCAGTTTCTCACTATTCTCTTTAACAAAAGATCTGTATAGTAAAGGATTAAAGAGTTTCTGTAGATATATCGGTCTATAAAATTCAAAACGTGAGCAGGTGTCCTCGCTCGACCCATGATAGAATACAGCCACAGTATACATTACTTTATAATGGCTATTGTTATGCTCTGAAACTAAAGGTCTAGATTAAGGGTCTGATTCGTATTTAATTTAAGTTATGGAGGAGCTAAGTCCAGCTGTATTAAGCTGAACAAGTGTAAATTGGGTGCGTTCCTCGAGTGGGCATGATTGCCGTATATTAGAACTGAACATTAGAACTGTCATTTCCGTAGTAACTATTTAATTTGGTTCATAGAGATTAGCTCTGCAGTATAATACCCCTTGTGGTGACATAACCAGGTTTAATGTGTATATTAACAGCGGTTCAGACTCAAGAGATGCTTTCGAAAGTTTCATTTTTAAATTTTAAGGTTTGTAGCATGCAGCACTCTTCACTCTTGTGACTTACACATATTCTCGAATCATTTGTAGATGCCAATTTCAACCCTTGTGAAGCGTGAGCCATGATAGGTCTAGAATCTTTTACAGTTTAAACCATGTTGTTCCACAGCTATCCTCAATCCAATGTGTTTAAACGAAGACAAGTTATTTACGTTTGAGCTGAGGGAGCTGATATTCCCTTAAGGGGGCATACCCCAAATCTGTCCAGACCTAATGACCTCATAGGCAGTTCAGTGACCTTCTAGCGCACCGTTTCCACACCAAAAAAATTATTTTGAGAATTCCCATTTTTGTAATCGAGCATTTCTTGGTTAAGAGTGCAATTTTCAGAAAATATTATTTTGTGGTTGAGACGCTATAAGTTAATTATTTCTTGCGGTATCGGGTTGAAATTTTGCTCGCCGTTTATTGACATCTATGTCAAGGTGTGTGTAAAATCTTGATATCGTATCTAAAAAGGCTAGTGTGTTATGAATTTTTAAAGTCAAAAAGCTAGAATTGTCCTTTTCAGGCTTATTTTAACAAAAAGTCAGTCAGGGAAGATCGGATTATTTGATGCTTGACATCAAATTGTTCTCTGAATTCTGGCGCAGTTTTTGATGCCCTCAAAAATGTTTTTACTCATTCACCTTCTGATCTATTGGACCTCAAAGCCAAACAACAAATTTAGGCACATTTTTCGTTTTTAATATTTACTGATTTTTCTAAAATTTTGATAGGAATGTGCTAGTGACTTTTTTAAGGGTGCAAAATGACCGCAACTAGCACATTTATATATGAGTTATGAACAACAAAACACCCTAAAATGCTTCCATTTGAAGTTATGGGAGAAAATGTGATTTTTTGGCTTTGCAGATAAAAACTGCGCCAGAATTCAGAGAACAATTTGATGTCAAGCATCAAATAATCCGATCTTCCCTGACTGACTTTTTGTTAAAATAAGCCTGAAAAGGACAATTTTAGCTTTTTGACTTTAAAAATTCATAACACACCAGCCTTTTTAGATACGATATCAAAATTTTACACACACCTTGACATAGATGTGAATAAACGGCGAGCAAAATCTCAACCCGATACGGCAAGAAATCATTAACTTATAGCGTCTCAACCACAAAATAATGATTTCCGAAAATTGCACTCTTAACCAGGAAATGCTCGATTACAAAAATGGGAATTCTCAAAATAATTTTTTTTGGTGTGGAAACGGTGCGCTAGAAGGTCACTGAACTGCCTATGAGGTCATTTGGTCTGGATGGCACAAACCACTGTTTTGGGGTATGCCCCCTTAATAGCTGCTTACTTTGTATATTTGATTTATGGGGGACAAAATTACAAAACAGATTTGATTATTGTGTGTTGATTAGTGAGAATATGCTGTATATACATAAAATACTTTATAAATATAAATACATAATCCACGCGCTCATGAGTTACTTGTTAGACTCAGTAGATGTAGTAATTGCGATTTAAGTTTGAATAATCAAGTTTGTTATTATATAGTTATTAGACCCAACTACGTGTCAATTTAATCGTTATACGGAATTTTGTAGATTTAAACTCGTCACAAGATTTTGGTTCATCTTGTTCTAATGGTGTTTTCATTGACTTATCAGCTTTTTATGATGTTTATAAGCTATTTCAGATATCTGTATAGAAATAAACAGGAATTAAACATGGAATGACTAAGGAGAACACTAACGAACTTGTCTTGGTAATACATCAATTCATTAAGATGATCAGAACTCTAAGAAATCGAGAGAAAGCTATAAAAGTACGTTTATGATAATAAAACAATGAGTTTTATTATCAAATATATGGTACAAAGTAAGAATGTACATACCAACATTCAACAACAAGGTCTTATCAGACAATGTGGAATATTTTCATTGTGTAGTTTGAGCACGTGCTACTAGACCATGTTGGTCTTACAATTGTAATATTTTGGACGGTACTGAAATTTGATCATTTTTCATTAAATTGGAGTTGAATGTAATAATAATAATGAATAATTTAAGCACAAACCATGGCCATGAAGCCAAATAATAATGATTATTCGAGGGACATAGGCTCCAACCTTTATGTTCAGCTAAGCCCTGTCAAGTAACTATTGTATCATATCCATTCTTCTTATAGTATAGGCTATTATGACGTTTCAATACATCTCAGTTCCATAAGCTCACAGGTATGTGACAGTAGTTAACGCTATTATTCAGACACACTAGTCACTTCTAATCACTAATAAGAGGTCAAGCTCAGTTAAGGGGGGAGCAGCTTGGCTCAAGCTGCTCTCGGCTTAGCACGATACACCAGCCTCCTTCCAGCCACTACTTATTTCAATACCTTACTTCCAGCCACTACTTATTTCAATCCCTTACTTCCAGCCACTACTTATTTCAATACCGTACTTCCAGCCACCACTGACTACGGTCACTATTTTCATTTCAATCCCATCAAAATACCATCTGTTTGGTCAGATCTTTCAATTGTTGCGAGATTGAAAGATTTGACCAGACAAATGGGATTGAGATTGTGAGCAATTTTGGGATTTCAATATCACAAAATAATGATGCTTTGCAATTTCAACTACAACAGTATTGTTTGTTACTTCCGACTTTATTGAATATTATCATGATAAATAATGCTGCGTTGAATATTAAATACTAAATTTCCTGGACACAGTGCTGCAACCTTTTGAAGCTTTATTATTATCAAAGCTCTCTGTTTGAATTGATCAGTGTACATATCATAGTAATTAGTAGTGACTAGTGTGTATATACTAAATAGTAGTAGTGAATATAGTGGCGTGAGACATTCTGTTTTCTGTCAGCTGTTCGGTCAATTAGGTAATTGGTAACTAGGTAATTGGTAATTAGGTAATTGGTTATTAGACGTAAGCCGGAGTTGTGACTGAGAAACTGTGTGAACTTCGTGTGAACCACCGGGCTGCTTCTTAGTCAGAGATTGTAGTTTTGAACATGTTTTGATTTTAACGCGGATCTTTGCGAGAAATGCATTTTGATCGAGGATTGATGCGAACGGTATAAAAAGTTCTAGTTGACAAGTATATAGTACTAGAAGTAGAATACAGCGAGTTTGACTTAGAATAAGTCTTACTGCCCATATAATTTTCCTAATCTCTGAAAGGTTGTAACAATGACATGTGAATTGTTCACTTCGCTATGGTGCCTTGCACGTGACATTGATTCAACCTTTCAGAGATTATGAGAATTATATGGGCAGTAAGATTTAATCTAAGTAAAACTCGCTGTATTCGAATTTCTGCTGGTGACCCGTGACGACGATAATTATTGTAATTATGGTAATTATAATTATGATAATTATGGTAATTATAATCATGGGAAACATACTCTGATTTGCTGTACTAAGTACATTCTGAGTTCACAGAGTCATGTTTAAATCAGCATGGCTATGGTAACTTGCAAGGCTGTCCTTTGTTGATCACCCAGTCCCGGTATTAAGGTTGTATTTTGCACATCATTGTGACATATAGAATAGATTGTTTTGTGAGTTTGGAATATTCTTTCTATAGTTTTGTTTTCCCGCATACTCATTTGTTAACATTTGTTAACATGACCCTTAAGATTTAGTTATTTTATCTCACGTCTATTGTATAAATTGCTTGTAAGCTTGTACACACTACACTTGTACACTTGTAAGCTTGTACAGTGTACACACTACACTTGTACTCACTACACTTGTACACTTGTAAGCTTGTACAGTGTACATTTGTAAGCTTGTACAGTGTACATTTGTAAGCTTGTACAGTGTACACACTACACTTGTACACACTACACTTGTAAACTTGTAAGCTTGTAAACTTGTAAGCTTGTAAACTTGTAAGCTTGTACACTTGTAGGCTTGTAAGCTTGTAGCATAGGACTGTAGGACACTGTTTCTAATATCTCATAGACATAAGAAAGCTCAGGGCATAGTGAGAACTATTGTTTCAAAGCATGTTCGAACTTCGAACACGTGTTAATTCGTTTGTAGGAATGCAACCTAAATCTGCCATTAAAATCACGTCCAAAATCAAATACTACTTCGCTCTCTTTTAAAGCGTCAGCTGAAGTTTTAAATTTAATCGAGAGCGTTCCATTTTTAAAATGTTTATCATTTAACAATTAACATAATGTCTACGCTATGCTTTTTGTCATAATCCGTGCTTAGTTACTTGTGTTGTAAAGAAAAAAGGGTTTTAGAATTATAATTATTAAACTTTGTGATTCTTGATTATCACACCTCATGTGATGTTACACAATTGTTATTAATGTTAGTTATAATTACAGTTTTGGCAAGTTGCCAAGATAATCCAATTGTATACATTCCTAACAGTTCCTCATCATAGCACCACTTAACAGGCAACAATGTCGACATTTCATGGACCTCTAGTGAACGACAGTACCCTCCTAAATGCAGCCCAATACAGCGCTATTCACGACCCCTGGGAGAGAATAGTTCTGGCTATTTTCTGTACCCTCACCTTTATCTTCGGGCTGGCAGGTAATTTATACTATTTCAGTTTATAAAGGATAACTAACTGGCAGTGTTCCAAACTCTATCTAATGATGAAATACATCTGATGGACAGAAAACAGAATACAAGTAATCATGGGAGAAGTCAAACTTTGGATAGTTCACAAATTACTGAATTTATCATAATTGTAATTCATTACGTTTCCAGGGAACGTGCTGGTGATCTACGGCACCATTAAGTACAAATCAACAAAGTATGACAGAGTCACCATTATATTCGTGCGGCACCTAGCTATATCGGACACGATAGCTATGATGATATACGTGTTGCCCACTGTTCTTGTGCACTTTTCTGGGGGCTGGCGCTTCGGAGAGAATCTCTGCTATTTTCTAGGTTGGATATTAGCTCTTCAGGGTTGAGATTTTCTTAGATTAATTCATAGACAGTTTATAAAACCTCAACTTGTGTGAGACATTCTAGAGAAAAGTCACTTGAAATTGAGTTTAAAGTTTTTGTAACTAATAAGTACACATAATATTCGATTACCACCATGTTAAATCTATGATACACCATAACACCACTCTCTCTCTGCTCAGGTATAGTGAACATACTACCGGGGTTCCTGCATGCAACGTTCATCATGTTCATCTCACTACACAGACTGATAAGATGCATTAGGAGACTCAGCTTCAAGATGGACCGCTTCCTTACTGCTAGAAAAGCTTCTGTACTCTCCGGTAAGAATATTAGGCTTTTAAAGTTCGTAATTAAACTATCATGACTTACGTTAAGAACTCTTTTTATCAGTAAGTTTACTGAATACATACTATCTTACTATATATAGGAATTTTAGAGCCCCGCGAATTAAATAGGTAATAATTATTTTAGTCTCTTGAGTCTTGACACCATTTTAGGGTTATACGGGTTCCTGCTATTAATCTATAATAAACCCCCACTCCCCCAGGTCTAGTGTTCCTATTCTCAGCTACAGTCCCACTTTACTACTACTTCACCGGAGTTACCGTACAGTTCCACGTGTCTAACTGTGTAGCTGAACAGGATGAGAATGTTGTGCCTCTAAAACTTATCCTCAAGTGGATACATCTTGCAGAGTACTTTGTTATTGTGGGCTCTGTTATAGGTGAGCAAAACTTAAAGCCGAAGATTGAATTTCGAAGATATTTTTAGAACAATAATGATAGTATGTTGTAGGAGGATTGACCAGTTTTCTGAATAGATAGTCATGAAATATTGGTCTCAAGTCTGATTTCCGGTATGACTAAACTTTCCACGGACTCCAACAGACAACTAACCCAAACACCCCTGCCCAGGTATTGCAGGAGTAGCCTGCTACATGGGCAAAGGAGCCTGGAGAACACACTCCAAGATCCTGGTTACCACCTTCCTGATAGTAGTAGTCTACCTCCTCTCCTGGACACCCCTCCTCTACTCCTGGGTCTGTATGACTGATCCCCGCAAGTCAACCCTCCTCGAGATACCCGATCATATCTACAAGATTGTAATCTACTTTTTCATGATATCTCTTGTTGCCAACCCTGTTATCTACACATGTATCAACAAACATTTCAAAATATTCCTCACGTTGGAGATCAGAAGCAGTTTGGGAAGTATGAGCAATGTGTTATTTCCTGGTTCCAGACACAGTAGTAAGTCTAAGACCAAGGGAGTAGAGAAAGGAGTGGACATCATCATCGAGGATGATGTACCGTGCAGTGCGAGGTACAGTGAGGATGATGATGATAAGCAGACAACTAGGGTTCAAGCTGATAACGGCATGACCACGTGGGATGTAACGAAGATGACTGCATTCTCTTTGACACCTGTTATGAGGCGGGGAGACAGAAGACCTAGTCACGTGTTAGTAGACTCTGGAGATGAGGAGGAAAAAGATGAGGAGGAAAGAGAAGAGGGAGATGTGAAATTAGGTGATGGTTTAGGATCGGATAAGGATGCGTTATCAGCACTAAATAAGACTAGTGCTGATGACGAAGACAATGGAGAAGTCGATCACAAAGTTTGAGTTGGGATTGGGTCGAGGATGAGGTACTGAAATATTTAAGAAACGACAATTTTGTTAGAAAGTGCGGGTTTAATTTAAACTTAATTGATTACTCTGTGTGCAGTTATACCTTTCTTTATCTTAGGGACACTTCCTACCGCGGCTGACATTTATATCTCCTATTAATTCTGACCCACTCTGAGGGCTAATTAAATTATTTAGTAATTAATTAATTACATTATCTTCTTACCCTGTTGTTGAGTGGTGTTCCATCTGGACGTTTATCTGGACTCGTTTGTGACCGTTTACTACTACTCCTGTGTACTGAGGGAACACAGTGTTTTATGATTGAATTACTAATTGAACTACGTAATTGAATAACACTCTTGACTTGTCTAATTTTATTTTTATCCATGTTCATTAAAGGTGTTCATTTAGTTTTAAGGCTCCAGTTTTCTTACGGGTTTCTTACTTATACTTTTGCGTCTTTTTGGCAAAAATTCAGTTAAGCAAATCAAATTATAACCGAATTATCAATTAAGTGATTACCGGTTCCACACAGAGGAATGTATCGTGAAGAGTCTTGTTAGCCTGCACTGATAAAGTTATGTTCTCACGCAGTCTCACGTCCGCATCCAGGAACATTGCCTTTGTTATGTAGAGGGGCACTGAAACAAGAGTGTTAAAGTCTCATCTTCTGTTTTATTAATCCTGATCTGCTGTTTTATTAATCTTAATTTTTCGATAATTTCTATTTTCACATCCATTTGTTTGTTCTGATTTTCAACATAAGCTGTTAAAGTTGCAGTAATTTGAAGAAAAAAAGCGTTTTATTTTCGGACGATCGTGTTTTTGATCCGCTTGAAACTCATATAAGAACTTTATAAAACTCTTCCAGTTTGCAGATAACATCTAGTACTTTCTCCATTAACTACTAACATTAACCAATATAACAGTCTGCAAAATAATATCCCCTTTCTGTTGTTCAGGAGTTGAACCCCAAAGAATTTAAATATGTTAGCAGAAATAGATAAGTATGGTCACTCTGCTGCTACTCAATGCTGAATTAGTCTCATGATCATTACATTACGTAGTGCAACTTACGAAAGAGTTTTATTATTTTCTAATGTGTGTACAAAGGAACAATACGTATACGCTATTAATAGACACGCGGTCAAATTCCCATTGCTAATCAAGCTGGTATTAACTGAAGATCTTACATTGCTAAGAATTTGTGGATGTACATGCCTTGATCATTCAATAGTATGATAAATTAACATTAACACTTTTATATGCTGTTCAAACAAATTATATTCATTATGTACCTACGATAAGATGTATTGTATAAAAGGGTCACGTCATGTACAGACAGATTTTGGTAAATAGACTCTAACAAGTAACAGACTCACTCTATGGACAGAACTTGGGAGTTTATCCCTTCATTCCTATGAACAGCTGGACAGTGAACTTGATAACCAATTAGTGAGCTAACTGGATCCACAAACATTTAGTTGTCCAATCTTCAAATTTTAACCGATGTAAACAAATGTACTCGATCCTCGTGTCTATCCCAAACGAAAAACACATAAACGTACATGTAACGCGCGTGTAACGACTGCTCACAATACGCTTTCAATACAAATTTTGATTTCGCGCGAGCGCGTCTGAAAAATTTTGAGTAGACCCTTCTGAGAATAAAACATCGAGTAAGAGTTTCATTCATGCCAGTGGAGTGGAGACTCACCGTTCTGGGCACAAGCCGTAAGGTTAAGCATTCCCGAGTACTTCCAGGCGTAGTATGCCACATTGGTAGGATTATTTGTAACATTCTGAAGAGCCCAATCTGGGATTCTGTATTCGTAACAATCTATACCCTCATAAGAGCTTTCATTTGTGAACACCAAATCTACAGATCTGAAAAAGAGATGGACATCCAATTTATCTCTTGACACAGAGACAATAACGGTATCAATGTATCACCTGTCATACACAGGTACACAGTCAACCCATGGTGTTTATCACCATGGGTATCACAGAGTATGATTTATAAAGAGGATATTTAAATTGTATTGCTATCTTTTCCTGAAAGCTGAAAAGGAACTACACGACTAGTTTTGCCAATTTAGATCGAAAAAAGGGGAAGTGGGTTTCATTTAGACTGCTCTCAAAGGACAACTTAAAATGACAAAAGTCAGTTGTACACGGTCCATTTGGTCATGACGAACCTGAAAAGCTGCTCATTGTAGATTGTCAAAGTTTTGGTTTTATTGTAGATAAGCAGCGGTTCAAACATGCTGCCTTCTGTTCCGTTTATAGTGTTAGCTGCATTACTTCCCCAACATCCACTGAAAATATAGTGAGGCTAAGATGGGAATAATAGGGCTGCAAACTATTCCGCCCAAATTTAATTCTTTGAAAATAGATTTTGGGTCCCTAATAGCAAGGAAGTAGTGCCAGAATATTTCTTCTTTTAACCTGGAATTTCTGCCGTGAAAGAGGTGATACTCGTCTACTTTAGCGATATCAGTGTGTCCTGTGTATACCACAGTGGGTAATATCATGGCATTAGCGTCTGTTGAACCGTTAGTCTGAGATAGTGAGAGGTATTAGTAAAATAAGGTCTTTATATATTAGATTAACATGTCTGTGTTAATTTTCGTGCTAAATCTCAACTATTCGGAACCCTTATTTTACTTTATCTGTTTTACTAACTACTGTGACTTGTGAGTTTTGTTAAACTTGATAAATTGATTTTTGTTCAACACATAAAAAGTTGGTCACAAGTTGATGTGATCAGTGATGTCGATAATATGCTGCCAAGATGCTGCCAAAAGAGAGAGAGATGCTGCCAAGATTACATTTATCACCACGTATTAGGGTGATCATAAGTCGAGAGTGAAAACAAATAGAGGGTTAACGCTGATATTCCGGTTTAAATTGTGATACCAATTATCAGTGGATTATTTGCAATCTAACCTGAAGAGCAAATTGAGGAGAAGGAGCAAGTTTTAGAGAGTGTAGTATGCTCATAATAGGATCGCTCATACCCCACAAAATATCCTGTACTGTTCCGTTTAATGTGAGGTAATCTAAACCTTCTGCATGTTCGTATACTGCTACTAACTCTGAATAGTTGAGATGGGGTAAGGTTTCATTGTGATGAGGGAAACTGCTGACGATAATTCATTTTTATTTCCTTGACAGTTGACGGTCTGTTGAAATAAAAGGGCTATGATAACTCAGAGAGAGTAAAGTTTTAAAACTTACAAATCTAAATACTTTACCTTCTAATGTAGTTTTAACAGCAGCTGGAATGAGGGAGTTGTGGGCTATTTGTGACACCACAGTCAACAGAGGAACATTGGGTATGAATATAACATCGTTTAAAGATGTGTTGTTGTTGTGTTTCTGGGTCTCTGACTCACTAAACACAAAGTACAAGTAGTCGTAGTACATCGCATATTTTAGGTCCCCGGAAAAGTTAGCCTGTTTTTTAATCTCATATTTCCTGCAAAAACAAAACGTGAGTAATTTAATGTTAAATATTAGGTCATCTGAATGCAAAAAATTGTGAAACCTTGGCAATGATCACAAAATGTTCCTGGTTAACTAATATCAATAACTTTCGGAAGAAATGGAAAATGGTAAGATCGATACATTTTACTAAAATTTCGGATCATTGCAACATGATTATTTATAACATTGACATGATATTGAAGGCTGATACTGGTCATCAACAAGAACTTACTGATAAACATAAGGTCCAACTGGCTCTAAAATAGCTTTCTCGCCTTTATTAAATTCAATAGGATTAGTGATATTAAAGAGGTAGATATCATCGTAAATAGAGACAGGGGGTGTCTGCCAATTATCGTATGTTTCAGTGCCTGGTGACAAATGAACTTGCTGAAACAGTTTAAAAGTTTATTTATTAGAGATGGACAAATGTGTAATAATGGCATTTATAACACTGAAATAGTTCATTAGTTTTTAAAATGTAGGGGAAAAAAAGTAAAGTATCACGATTGAGAGAAACTCACCGTTTTTATAAGATTATCAATGTATGTAAGAAGTGGTTTTTGGCCTGACAGTGTCACTATCAGAATCAACAAACCGATGGCTGCAAGCAGAATACCACAAATCTGTTGACATTTAGGACTTGGCATTTCTCCGCTCACGAGATTAACTCACATTTTGCTATAAATTCACCAAGTTAGATTTAGAGTAAAACAGATAAAATCAAGCAAACAAATTTGGGATGTCAAACTGTAAATGTCACATGTGTGGGAAGGTACCTCTACCTTCTACAGAAGTATTCGTTCATATGATGCCATGATGGTCACATGGTCACATGGTCACATGGTCACATGGTCACATGATGTCTCCAATATTTTACACATGTATTGGTACGTGGTGGTGGTTTTAACTAGCATTCCAGATAATTTAACACCACATTTTAAGAGCCTTCATCACGTCATGTTCTGCATGTTTTAGATAACCTGCACCTTATCTCAGATTACAATTCCATTACAGGATAGTACTTACATCACTATTATTATATAACAGATTGTTTGAGCTCGCAATCTAGCAAGCTTGCAGCTGGCTGGAGAGTAAAGGGGTCCCTAGTCCCCTACTTAGCTGCACCTTGTTTCATTTCTCACAATTTTAAGAAACCTTCTAGCTCGGCACTTTAAGACAGCTGCAGCTAGAAGCAAATCTGAAAGGAGATAAGGCTCAATTCATGACGTCTGCAACATGGCACTCCAATTTATTGGGGTAGGTAACTTCATTAGATAAGAGTATTAGATTAAGAAGTAGCCTGTACAGCTGCTTAAGGTCAGACTTTATGTTTTAACTCTGAATGTGTCTCAGTATTTGGTAGGTAGATACTTGAATTCCATAGACTTCAATGTGTCTGTTATTTTCGGTGACATCACACGAAATCCAGTATCATTTACTTCTAGACTGTGAAGATCAAATGTGTATAATTTGTAAGATAACCAAGAGCTCAGTTTATCTGTTTTTAACTACAGAGTGGCCTGACATGCAACCCTTCAATAATTCATGAAATTCTAGACAGAATTGCAAAAAATGTCAAGGGCTAGAGATATGGACTTAGATTTCCAGAAATGTCGTGGAATTTTTAGATTACAGTCGGTTTGGCTTGTCACTACCTCTTTTCACTAGTTACAGAATTCAGTGCTCACACAAAACTCTTGAATAAGTCTCAATATTCGGGTCAGAATAGCACAACAATTTCAGGGAATTGAAATTGGAGTCAAACAAATAGATACAGATCATGATCACGTTACCTTGTCAAGTTCAAGGCTTCTTGATAGCTTGATCCTGAACTTCACCACTTGTTCCCGCTTCTACCAGCATTGTGCATGTTCATTCGTCAATATTCTCTGCCCCAACCGATTTAGACGGAATATCAAGGTCATGTGTTCACTGTTCAGGGTAACTAAATCAAATAATGGAGTAGTTCGCTGTTTATTAGTCTCATGATTGAAATACTGATAGTTCAAGGATAATATCTGGTTGGAAGAGACAAGGACAAGAGATAGAACAACAAAATGTCGGTGGAGGTAGTTTCTATGGCAACTAAGTTAACTGCAACTGGTTGAGTTAAGAGGTCATCCTCCAAGTTTAATTTTAGTTAGAAGTTTCATCCAGTCTACAGCAGAAAATAACACATTATATACAGATGTATGTATCTATTAAGTGTATTTGTGATTTGTGACCAATACAATAACTCATTATGTTTTAACTGTCCTATCAGTTGAGCTGAAGAAGCGAATTTAAAGGACGATAGACGGTGTTGTAAAATAAAATTCAACACCAGCTGTTTCCTGCAGAAGCTGACAGTGTTCTTCTGACCAGCTGAGCCGGAGCCTTCATACTCAAAGAATACGTCTTATATTGTGAACAAATCTACTGAAAATGCATACGCGGGACTTTTCATAATGATAATATTATTGACTTACATTTTGATCTTTTCTTAGACGAATTATTTTTTACTCTTCTATTGTGTTTTTTCTTTCAATAGTGCTCAAGCGGATTCTAAATCATTCGAAAAATTCAATTTCTCAAAATTTGAGAAGAAGACCGCATCCTTTTAGGGATATTATTGAAATTGGCTGAACTTATCACAACCATTGATATACACCTGTGCTGTCAGTCAGGAGGAGGTACGGAAAAGCTGTTCGGTAACAAGGTCGTGGGTTTATCTGACGGTTCGGTGTGGTCGTGTGGGATCACCGCTAGGGTACATATAAACTGAAGCTACCTGTCTCCGAGGATTTTTATGGTTGCTTAATGCTTAGTTGTATTTGTTCCGTTTGATATGATTTGTTTCCGTTGTATTGGGACCAGTGGAGATGCTGTTAATTAGAGAACAGTAATTTAGTCCTAGTACCAAAGTGATACTGATTTACAACAATGCGTACATTGTACAGCAGGAATGTAGACCATGTTAACAGGAACGTGTCGGTATGGGAGCAAAGGTAATGATATTCTAAATAATCGTTGCTTAGATCATAGTTAAACATTAGAATACCTTCAGAAAGCTAAAGCGATTAAAGCTGGAGTTGAGCTAATGCACTCACCACTGTATAGACTAACAGTACAGTATAGCCTTGTAGTTTATTCCTGGGTTGCACACTGCACAGTCCTCCTGATTTTTCAAACTTAGAATGTGGTTTTTGTTCTTGTTCACTGCTCAGTTCTATCCATATTTCTCGTGTTATGTTCAAAGTTTTGTCTTAAATATACTCTCTATTGGATCGTCGTCGTAGCCGACTTATCGGGAAACTGTATGATGTAACTCTCCTTTAGTTTAACATTAGAACAATGGAATCCAGGGCACAATAGGGTTAATCGTTGATTATTCAGTGGAAGACAATACGTTCTGAGGCCAGCCAGACAAGATTTACAATATCATTGCTGGTTAAGCTATCAGTTTCCTGATACAGCAGCCAATAGAAATCCTCTAACTTGTCCACGTGACATAAGAAAAGCAGGGAGAGCCTACACTCTGCCTCTGTATTCTCAATATAGAGGCAGAGTGCACGTTATTTGTTTAAAACATTTCTTGTAGCTCGAATAGTGAAGTACTACCATTTGCATCGATTTGTTGCAAGGGATGTTAGATTCTTTGTACTAATCTCACAGCGATGCAAATTACACTGTTACTTCTTAGATTTGTTATTTATTACTAGCAGGAACCCGTCTAGCCCTAAAGTGGTGTCAAGAGTCAAGAAACTGAAATAATTGTTACCTATTTAATTCGCGTTTTTGACACCACTCGGGGGTCCAAATTTTGGGCATTAAAAATCTTATTCCCTGGCTAATTTTTTATTTTCTAATGCTGATTGAAAGGCCATTAAAGCATTTGAACCAGTCAAAAAAGTTTAAGTTGTATATCTTTTACGGTTTTTGCGGAAAGTTGTGTGAAAGTTGATGCCGTGGTGTCAGTAAAAAAAATTTCACAGGCTATGATAATTAACGAAGTATTTGGATTTCTTCTTTTGTTGACGTGCTTTGAATTGACACACGCTGTACCAGGTAAATGATCACATTTGTAATTAACAGGTTAATTGATAATTTTATCTCATTTTCCTATGATGTTTAGGGAATCATGTTAATGCTTGCTTCCAAATCTGCCATGAAACCTGAATGAACGAGTAAATGAATAATACCTAGCCAGTTAAAGCCAGCTTATAGCAGGTCGACGGGTCGATGGTGAACCTTAATGCCGTTTATTAGAAAAATTTGCAGACAATATCGCAATAAACTATAAAGAGTTTCGAAATAACAACACCGATTATTGATAGCCAGTCATCGACCTCTTCAGTAGAAACGTCAATATTTAAGCACACAGCATGGCAACAAACCATGCCTTAAAGGATTCAGAAAGATTTAATGGTGCATTGTGTAACCCAATTTCATGCTTTGTCTAAAACTTTGATAACAGGAGTAAAGAAGTGGAGAGATGACCTGAGATGTGGACCTAATAACCCTCTCTCTGATGGAACACCAGCTCAGTGTAATCCTGACGATCCAGCCGGTTACAGTTGCTGTTCTCCAGGGGGGTGGTGCGGGAAGACACCAGGACACTGCTTGTGTGATACCTGCATTGACTACAGAAGTGAGTAGTATTATAACACTAGCAGGAATCCGTCTAACCCTGAAGTGGCGTCAAGACTCAAGAGGCTAAAATAATTATTACCTATTTAATTCGCGTTTTTGACACCACTTGGGAGTCCAAATTTTGGGCACTAAAATTCTTATTCCTTGGCCAATTTTTAATTTCTTCATACTGGTCAAGAGGCCATAAAAACATAAAAGCATTCGACCCAGCCAAAAAAGTTTCAATGATATATCTCTCACGGTTCTCGCGGAAAGTCGTGTTAAATTTGATGTTTTGGTATCAGTAAAATGGTACGGATATGATATATATATAATATATATATACAGGGTGGGCCAAAAGTCAGTACCCATACGTTGGCCTTAATAGCTCCGCCGTGTTTTATATTTGAGAGCTGTTGCTTTGCAGATGGCATACTGTACTTACTGGTTCGAGGATTCCGTCGTCAAAATTTGAAAATTCGAATATTTTAGACCACGCCCATTCAATATTAAAACACCTATATTGTTTTCTCTGAACATGCTGAACGCCTAATTTTTTCAGAGACGGTAGATTATCAAATGTTGCATATGATCTGAAAACATAAGGCAAAACGGATTAGAAATGACGAAGTTATCAAGCATTTTCTGTATCTCGTTAACAAAATTGACTGGGTGATTATGTGACACCGTGACACGACACCTTAATTGGGCACCCTTAACAATTCCCATAATGTTTAACGGGGTAGTTACCGTGGGCACCTTATCACGTGATTAGGTAAACCAATCACCTGATCACACGTAATGAATAAACTCGTTATGCTTCATATCTCGGTCATCTGAGAAGCTACAGTTCTAATTCTTTCAGGACAAACGTAATTCGAATGGCCAAACACAATTCAATAACATTTAGCTTGATCCGACTATCCAAACTATCAAATAAATGTGAAAATGAACCTCCATTTGAAAAAAATGAACGCGAATATTTTTCGAGTTGACAAATTCCTCGAACCAGTGGTGGTACTAAGTCATACCAGAAAGAAGTATTTAAATTGGGCACTCAGTGACTGAGCTATAAAGGCCAACGTATGGGTACTGACTTTTGGCCCACCCTGTATATTATGATTGGCTACTGGGACACGTCATACACACGGTTGGATTGTTAATTCGGTTGAAGTACCTTTACATCCATTATCACCATAATCTGAACATGATTTATTAAAAATTTGCAATATCGAAAACGAAAAATCTGAATAAACTGAAAATTTTGAAACTGAAAGCTGCACTCAATTGATGGAAGGCAAAAATTTACTCATAACTAGCAAGGTAATAGCTACAAATGAACAGCAGATTTATAAATCTGCTGATAAAAATTAGATAAAAGACATGGTATCTGATAAGAGTTTGAAATTACACGTAAGCAGATAAATTGTCTAAAATTTCTGTCTCAAATCAAGTTTATAGTGCATCATGAATTTAGGCTTGTTCGATCAAAGTTATATTAGGAGATATTAGGAAAATAGTTCGGTCGGCCGGAAGGGAGTCCAGACTGAGTGTGGTGTGGAGGCAGGATCACCGAGAGACTCGAGATGCTTGTGAGAGTAGTGTACTCATCTAACCGCCATCCAGTATGTGCCACCGGTAGAAATACATATATTATGATTGGCTACTGGGACACGTCATACACACGGTTGGATTGTTAATTCGGTTGAAGTACCTTTACATCCATTATCACCATAATCTGAACATGATTTATTAAAAATTTGCAATATCGAAAACGAAAAATCTGAATAAACTGAAAATTTTGAAACTGAAAGCTGCACTCAATTGATGGAAGGCAAAAATTTACTCATAACTAGCAAGGTAATAGCTACAAATGAACAGCAGATTTATAAATCTGCTGATAAAAATTAGATAAAAGACATGGTATCTGATAAGAGTTTGAAATTACACGTAAGCAGATAAATTGTCTAAAATTTCTGTCTCAAATCAAGTTTATAGTGCATCATGAATTTAGGCTTGTTCGATCAAAGTTATATTAGGAGATATTAGGAAAATAGTTCGGTCGGCCGGAAGGGAGTCCAGACTGAGTGTGGTGTGGAGGCAGGATCACCGAGAGACTCGAGATGCTTGTGAGAGTAGTGTACTCATCTAACCGCCATCCATATATATGGATATATATATATATATATATCGTCTCCCTTTATACAGGGTGGGCCAAAAGTCAGTACCCATACGTTGGCCTTAATAGCTCCGCCGTGTTTTATATTTGAGAGCTGTTGCTTTGCAGATGGCATACTGTACTTACTGGTTCGAGGATTCCGTCGTCAAAATTTGAAAATTCGAATATTTTAGACCACGCCCATTCAATATTTAAACACCTATATATTGTTTTCTCTGAACATGCTCAACGCCTAATTTTTTCAGAGACGGTAGATTATCAAATGTTGCATATGATCTGAAAACATGAGGCAAAACGAATTAGAAATGACGAAGTTATCAAGCATTTTCTGTATCTCGTTAACAAAATTGACTGGGTGATTATGTGACACCGTGACACGACACCTTAATTGGGCACCTTTAACGATTCCCATAATGTTTAACGGGGTAGTTAACGGGGTCACCTTATCACGTGATTAGGTAAACCAATCACCTGATCACACGTAATGAATAAACTCGTTATGCTTCCTATCATATATAGTAGCGAGATCATCTCAAAACCCCCTCCCCCTCGGATCGGCTGATTACGTAATATGTGAACGACCCCTACGTCATATCTAATAGATTGGCATAGGTATATAATAAGTCTTAACAGATAAAAGGTAAAAACTTCTAAACACACTTCTTTCCGTCGAAAAGAAATCTAAAAGAGTCAGTCCCAAAACGCGGGATACAACATTGGGTCTCATTTATACCCGATATCTCAACTGTCGCCTGAAATTTATCAAAGTTAAATATGGTCAGATTTTTTCATTTCATACGAATATTAACGAATAGTCAAGAGATGGATCGAAAGGATTCTATTGATACTTAATGATACCAGCAAAAACCTCCAAATACCTTTATGTACTCTCACTCGTGCGTTGACAGTCGCTGAGTCTTACAATCAGACTGTTCCAATATCAGTTTCAGTCTTTATGGTACATGCTGAAATCTTCTGAGGTGCTGACAAGTTTGCTTCACACTGTTGTTCCACCGTTTTTCCATTAGTTCCAGTGACAATAACCAGTGGATAAACTTTTTCTTCAGCAGATCTCATCCAGAAACTTATCTTGTATTCTGGAAGTTAAAAACGTGTGATTTTCAAGGATGAAGAAAAAGGATATTATGCAGATAAGATAACATTTTTCGAATTTTGATTTAGGCTTTAAATTAATTTTAAACAACAACGGAAGTATCCAGTATAGAGAGGCACGGTATAGTGAGGTTTTATTGTGGTTACATTTTCCTCCCAGTCAGACTGTCTGAATGATGTGTTTGTGGATGTGGGAGAATGCCTCTGGCTGAAATTTGATGAACTTACCAGTCGTAGAACCTTCGGTCCAAGCAGTATAGAAGAGCAACAGTTGTAGTGTGATAATTTTCATTCTTTCCATTTCCATCCTTTCATTCTCTGATTAATTTTATAGATAATTATAACACTTCACATGTTTTGGGACAAAGTTAGACAAAGTGAATGTCTCCAATCAGTTTTTCAAACAAATAGTTGTCGACGTTTCGGCCCATGCCTTTTTCATGTTATGAAATTGTAAATATAGGGAGCTGGTCATAGCTACCGAAATATCTTGCCTGATGAATTTCGTTTTTCTTTAAATAAAGCAGTTGAGATTACTCCCTGTTTCTATGCTAGAATCGTGTAAAAGATAGCTTATACATATTATAATAATGTCTTAAGGTTGTTTATTCAACTAAGTGGCTAGCTTTGCTCAAAGTTACGCTTTGTACGGCAGATCGACGAATAAGTGTTCGTTGAATAATTGTTCAGCTGACTATTAATGAGGAGGTTACTAATTTCGCTTTTAAGGCCCAAAATACAAGATACCATCAAGGTGTAATACTGAAGCTAAGTTATAACATATTTCATGGAGTTTGTTACACAGTGAGAAATTCTCTAAATTCCACCTATTTCCATTGATTTTGCTTATAAATGAGATTTTTTACCTAAACACACAATAAAATTATCAATAATTGAATCAAACAGAATATCTTTATGATAAGTAAAAAGTTTGGACAAAACGGAAAAAAATGTTTAAATAAAAAAATAACTTATTGGTATAAACAGAGAAAATAAACATTCAAAAATGGTTGGCTGCGAAATTACTTCATACTTTTTGTATGACATCTTATAAATGAACTTGATCGTTTTAGCTACATTTTTGGTACTATTCCGCCAATCAATTTTTAAAAATAATAAAATCTACAAGGAAAGTTTCCTCTCTCATCAAAATAGGTCCTCAAATATTCTTTCTTATCTCTCTTATTATTATATCAGATAACTCTCTTTTCGAAATAATTCCGACCATAATTTACATTTTTTGCTATTTTTTGGAATTTTTACATTTTTTTCTTCCTTTTATTACTAGTCTTTTATTAGTTCAGATCAAAGGTAATTTTAGCTTTTAAAAATCAAAGATTATCGTCTATCAAATTAATAATTTATGTAAATATTACAATTTTTGAACTGAAGTGGTAGAACAAAACCAAATATATATTAAAATATTATATTAATTGAAAGATAAGGTATAAAATATTGAATGTATTTTTATCTTGCTCATTTTATGAACAACATAATCAGAATTTAATTTAGAATTAGGATTAACTGACGATATCAGAGTAATGTCGCTCTCATAACTTAAGTTTTCTAATAAGAAATAATTGATAATTTAGATTATAAAAATTATATTATGTAGATAAAAAATAATGACATAAAATAGTTCAACTTTTATCAAAAAACAGAGAATTTTTAAAGTTAACTAGATTAAAAATTGAAGAAAAATCATAACTACATACCTAAAAACGGTATTATATATTAATTTTGCAATGCATTTTATAATATTATCCATTTTAGATAGGGTCATGCCAAGTGCCAACCCTGGCTCTAATTACAAACAAGATATATCAACATGATCAATTAACATTTTTTATTTAATTGTGTATAATTACTACAGTCCACGATGGTGGGCCAATTATTTTTATTTTTATTCTGTGAAAAAAACCTGTGCTATCCTGTGTAAAAAGAATTTACAATGATTAATAACAATGATATATCATGACCAAGCATCATGCATGAAAGCCTCAAAGGGTATATTGGTTGAAAAGTAAGGGTTGTAAGTGGTTTTATAGTTCAAATGACCTCATTGTGATTACTTTTCAGCTATTCAGAGGTCTTTGATATGGTAACCAGTTACAGTTACCAGTTACCAGTTACAGTTACCAGTTACCAGTTACAGTTACCAGTTACCAGTTACCAGTTACCAGTTACCAGTTACCAGTTACCAGTTACCAGTTACCAGTTACCAGTTACCAGTTAATAGTTACCGATAAACGGTTTTCAGACTAAGAAATCAGAGCAATTAGGCCACTTGCACGGTGATAGTGCTCCTTTTACCTCTGTTGCAACAGCCACATACTCTTCCCCGTGCACAGGCAACAAAGGAAAAAATCATTATCAAAAGTGCAAAGAAAGGTGGTATAAACATCAATTGGAGCCAGTACCAAAAACTTCCATCAAAACCACCATAATCAGACCCCCGGCGTCTATTTGGATACCACTTTTGCTCTGGATCGTCAAACTTGTCTGAAGTGATAGGGATGTGTTAGAGTGCCTGTTTGTGCCTACTTGTAGTGCCTGCTTGTAAAAAACAGGAATTCACGATGATATGGTGAATACCAATATTTCCGTAAGGGGTCGTTCACATCTTTGATTTCTTGGCAGGGGTTCTACAAGGGCTAGGGGATACGTTAGCACCATACTTGTTCATTATAGCCCTAGACTATTGCATGAGACAAGCCTTCAGCAAGCACCCTGAAATAGGATTTATCATAAAGCCTTACAGGAGTAGGAGAGTCAAGGTGGAGAAGATATAGGACACTGGTTTAGCGGATGACTTTGCTCTGATAGCGGATACTGTAAAGGAGGCAGAGATACTGATGCAAGAGGTAGAAAGGGATGCTGCTACAGTGGGACTTAGAATGAATGAAGGGAAAACCAAATTCATTACTCAGAACATCGAGAATCCTGATACCATCAAGTCCCTGGGTAACAGCACAATAGAGTATGTGGAAGACTTCACTAACATGGGTTCTAGAATCAGAGACAGTGAGAGTGATATCGGGGTTAAGAAAAGATGAGCATGGGGAGCATGCCACCAACTGAACTAATTTTGGAATTCTAAGCTTAGGAAGTCTATAAAGATCAGAGTGTTTATAGCACTAGTCGAGTCGCTGCTTTTGTACGGTTCGGAGACTTGGACTATGACAAAAAGGCTAGAGAAGATGGTTGATGGTTGCTATACGCAAATGTTAAGAATGGCCCTTAACATCAATCAATATCGAGACCATGTCAGCAACCACAGCCTATACAGTGAACTTCCCAAAGTCAGCTCTAAGATAACCCAACGAAGGCTCAGACTTGCAGGTCATGCTCATCGACATCCGGAGCTGACACTGAACAAACTGATCCTCTGGAAGCCGAGTTATGGGCATACTAACAGGGGGTGTAGGAAGCGGGGGCAGGGGGAGGCCATCATTTTGGGGCCAAAAAGGGCCAACTTTTTAATTAAGGTTTCTAAAAATTTTTGGTTTTCTTGGAAACTACTTTTGTTTATGTTTAATGCTACCCTGATCATTATGAGTCGAAATATTTTTTTTCGGTTTTCGAAGTTCGCACCTACCCAGGTTCGATATACGATTTTGGACTCGAGGGTTCCCCTTTGTAATGCGATCTCGGAAGGCAGGCCTCTATACTACCCTGATCATTATGAGCCGAAAATATTTTTCAGTTTTCTGAAGTCTGTGACTGTAGGTCTACATTCGGAAGGTTGTGGATGTGATTGGTTTCATATGCTAATTATAGAAAACGTGATATTTGGCCCACAGATTTGAAGGAAAATACGCAAATTTGGTTCCTAGATTTAATAAAGGAAAATAGGCAATTGCAAATTTGATGCGGAGAACTGAAAAAATCGGGATTTGTCGCGAGGCCAAGATCTGAAAAAAATCGCGATTACATGAAAAAAATCATTCCTACACCCCTCGGGGGCGACCTTACTTAACATTACTAGATAACCTAAAATCAGATACTGGGCTGAAGTCAGTAGATGAGATAGCTAGACTGATGGAGGACAGAAAGCTGTGGAGAACTGTTATAAATGGATCTCGGGAACACTAGTACCGCCTACTACCGCCTTAAGTCAAGTCGTTCACATAATATTACGTAATCACTTTTTGGACAATTTTTACCCCCCCACCTCCCCCTCTGTAATCAGTTTTACATATAGCTATTGTATGTATACAAATTACATTAGTGTAATCATTACAAAACCCCCCTGCCCCTCGGCTGATTACGTAGTATTATGTGACCCCTAAGTCCTATCTAATAGATTGGTATATTATATAAGAATTAACAGATAAAAAGTAAAACCTGTAAAACACACTGTTTGATTTCCATCGGTACGAGACAAAGAGTCAATCCCAAAACGCGGGAAATAGTATTGGGTCTCATTTATGCCGGATATCTCAACTGTCGCCTGAAATTTCGAAAAGTTAAATATGGTCAGATTTAAAAACATTTCATACGAATAGTCAAGAGATGGGTCGAAAGGATTCTGTTGATACTTAACGATACCAGCAAAAACCTCCAAATACCTACAAATTATACCTTCATGTACACATAAATATTACTCTCATTTTAATTGTTCTGTTTACCATTTGGTATGTCAAGCGACAGAATTGACAATGAATGATTCTTACAATCAGACATTCAAATGTTCCAATATCAGTTTCAGTCTTTATGGTACATGCTGAAATCTTCTTAGGTGCTGACAAGTTTGCTTCACACTGTTGTTCCACTGTTTTTCCATTAGTTCCAGTGACAATAACCAGTGGATAAACTTTTTCTTCAGCGGATCTCATCCAGAAACTTATCTTGTATTCTGAAAGTTAAAAACGTGTGATTTTCAACAAGGTTGAAGAAAAAGGATATGCAGATCATATAGCATTTTTCGAATTTTGATTTAGGCTTTAAATTTCATTTTAAACAACAACGGAAGTATCCAGTATAGAGAGGCACGGTATAGTGAGGTTTTATTGTGGTTACATTTTCCTCTCAGTCAGACTGTCTGAATGATAGTGTTTGTGGATGTGGGAGAATGCCTCTCGACTGAAATTTTATGAACTTACCAGTAGTAGAACCTTCGGTCCAAGCAGTATAGAAGAGCAACAGTTGTAGTGTGATAATTTTCATTCTTTCCATTCCCATCCTTTCATTCTCTGATTAGTTTTATAGATAAATATAACACATCACATTATTGATTAATAGATCTAGATATTATAATTGATGTTTTGGGACAAAGTGAGAGTCTCCACTCAGTTTTTCAAACAAATAGTTGTCGACGTTTCGGCCCATGCCTTTTTCATGTTATGAAATTGTAAATATAGGGAGCTGGTCGTCATAGCTACCGAAATATCTTGCCTTATGAATTTCGTTTTTTTTAAATAAAGCAGTTAAGATTACTGTTTCTATGCTACGGTAGAATCGTGTAAAAGATAGCTTATCACTATACATATAACAATAATGTCTTAAGGTTTTACTCGACTAAGTGGCTAGCTTTGCTCAAAGTTATGCTATGTACGGCAGATCGACGAATAAGTGTTGAATAATTGTTCAGCTGACTATTAATGAGGAGGTTACTAATTTCGCTTTTAAGGCCCAAAATACAAGATACCATCAAGATGTAATACTGAAGCTAAGTTAAATAACATATTTCATGGAGTTTGTTACACAGTGAGAAATTCTCTAAATTCCACCTATTTCCATCGATTTTGCATATAAATGAGATTTTTTACTTAAACACACAATAAAATTATCAATAATTCAATCAAACAGAATATCTTTATGATAGGTAAAAAGTTTGGACTTAGATTATTATTTTTTCATATCATAACGGAAAAAAATTTTTGAAAAAAAAATAACTTATCGGTATAAACAGAGAAAATAAACAATCAAAAATGATTGGCTGGGAAATAACTTCATACTTTTTTTATAAATGAACTTGATCATTTTAGCTACATTTTTGGTACTATTCCTCCGATCAATTTTTAAAATAATAAAATCTACAAGGAAAGTGTCCTCTCTCATCAAAATAGGTCCTCAAATATTCTTTCTTATCTCTCTTATTATTATATCAGATAACTCTCTTTTCGAAATAATTCCGACCATAATTTACATTTTTTGCTATTTTTTGGAATTTTTATTACCTTACTCGGGAATATTATGACTGGGATAAAGTGGTGGGTTTTGGAAAATTCCGCCATATTTTTCCCGGTCATTAATTTTCCCAGTCATAAATTAACCTGCTATAATGTTCCCGAGTAAGGTAAACTAATAGTAATACATTTTGATGCTTGGTGGGTTTTGGAACATTCCGCCATATTTTTCCCGGTCATTAATTTTCCCAGTCATAAATTAACCCGCTATAATATTCCCGAGTAAGGTAGTTCAGATCAAAGGTAATTTTAGCTTTCAAGAATCAAAGATTATTGTCTATCAAATTAATAATATGTAAATATTACAATTTTTGAAGTGGTAGAACAAAACCAAATATATGACAATTCAAATATAATATTAATTTAAAGATATCGTATAAAAAAAGGTATTTTTGTCTTTTTCATAGTCGAACAACATAATCAGAATTTAATTTAGAATTAGAAATAACTGACGACATTAGAGTGATGTCGCTCTCATAATTTAAGTTTTCTAATAAGAAATAATTGCTAATTTAGATTAGAAAAATTATATTATGTAGATAAAAAATAATGACATAAAATAGGTCAACTTTTATTAAAAAACAGAGAATTTTTAAAGTTAACTAGATTAAAAAATTGAAGAAAAATCATAATTACATACCTAAAAACGGTATAGATTAATATAATAATAATTGTGCAATGCATTTTATAATATTATGCATTTTATAATATTGTGCATTTTATAATATTATGCATTTTATAATATCATGCATTTTATAATATTATGCATTTTACATAGGGCCAACACTGGCTCTGATTACAAACAAGATATTAACATGATCAATTAACAATTTTTATGTAATTGTGTATAATTACTACAGTCCACGATGGTGGGCCAATAATTTTAATTTTAATTCTGTGAAAAAAACCTGTGTTATCCTGTGTAAAAAGAATGCACAATGATAAATAATAATGATATCATGACCATGCACCATGCATGAAAGCCTCAAAGGGTATATTGGTTGAAAAGTAAGGGTTGTAAATGGTTTTATAGTTCAAAGGACTTCATTGTGATTATTTTGCAGCTATTCAGAGGTCTCTGATATGGTAACCCGTTACCAATTACCAGTTACCAGTTACAGTTACCAGTTACCAGTTACCAGTTACCAGTTACCAGTTACCAGTTACCAGTTACCAGTTACCAGTTAATAGTTACCGGTTTTCAGACTAAGAAATCAGAGCAATTAGGCCACTTGCACGGTGATAGTGCTCCTTTTACCTCTGTTGCAACAGGCACATACTCTTCCACGTGCACAGGCAACAAAGGAAAAAATTATTATCAAAAGTGCAAAGAAAGGTGGTATAAACATTAATTGGAGCCAGTACCAAATACTTCCTCCATAGAAACTGGCAGCATCGTTACCCCGGCGTCTATTTGGATACCACTTTTGCTCTGGATCGTCAAACTTGTCTGAAGTGATAGGGATGTGTTAGAGTGTCTGTTTGTGCCTACTTGTAGTGCCTGCTCGTAAAAAACAGGAATGCACGATGATATGGCAAATACCCATATTTCCGTAAGGGGTTGTTCACATCTTTGATATCTTGGCAGGGGTTCTACAAGAGGATACGTTAGAACCATACTTGTTCATTATAGCCCTAGACTATTGCATGAGACAAGCCTTCAGCAAGCACCCTGAAATAGGATTTACCATAAAGCCTTACAGGAGTAGGAGAGTCAAGGTGGAGAAGATATCGGACACTGGTTTAGCGGTTGACTTTGCTCTGATAGCGGATACTGTAAAGGAGGCAGACACGCTGATGCAAGAGGTAGAAAGGGTTGCTGCTACAGTGGGACTTAGAATGAATGAATGGAAAACCAAATTCATTACTCAGAACATCGAGAATCCTGGTACCACCAAGTCCCTGGGTAACAGCACAATAGAGCATGAGCATGTGGAAGACTTCACTTACCCGGGTTTTAGAACAGAGACAGTGAGAGAAATATCAGAGTTAGGAAAAGATGAGCATGGGGAGCATGCCACCAACTGAAAAAACTTTGGAATTCCAAGCTTAGGAAGTCTATCAAGATCAAATTGTTTATAGCACTAGTCGAGTCATTGCTTTTGTACGGTTGCGAGACTTGGACTATGACAAAAAAGCTAGAGAAGATGGTTGATGGTTGCAATACGCAAATGTTAAGAATGGCCCTTAACATCAATCAATATCGAGACCATGTCAGCAACCACAGCCTGTACGGTGAACTTCCCAAAGTCAGCTCTAAGATAACCCAATGAAGGCTCAGACTGGTAGGTCAGTGCTCATCGACATCTGGAGCTGACACTGAACAAACTGATCCTCTGGAAGCCGAGTCATGGGCATACTAACAGAGGGTGTAGGAAACGGGGAGCAGGGGGAGGCCCCCCTCCCCCCCCCCCCCCCCCCCCCCCCCATAAAATCTGGGCAAAGGGCCTAAAAGGGCCAACTTTTTAATTTAGGTTTCTAAAAATCATTTTTAACCTTCGGTTCTAGCAGTATAGAAGAGCAACAATAGTAGTGTGATAATTTCCATTCTTTCCATACCCATCCTTTCATCCTGCAGTTTTATAGATGAATATAACACATCACATTATTAATTAACTAGAAAACCCGTGGTCACAGGGAGGAAATTAATAGTATTTTTTGTTAGTAAGTTAAAATCGCGTCAAAAAATATCCTACACAACCGAAGATACAGCCAATTAAAATGTTGCTCGCACTAAACACAACGTAATATCAACAAAAACGATAAAAAATGCCATTTTAACAATCCTTGCACGTGCACGTGCGTGTAACAACCCTCGTTACCATGGTTACTATGCAAGTTCATATTTTTCATCTAATTTGCACGTGGGCGGTCGTACATACATTCTACATCAGAAATAATTCTCTGAATTATAGTAGAGATAGATGTGGATACAGGATGGGCCAAAAAATATTCGTGTTCATTTCTTTCAAATGAAGGTTCATTTTCGCATTTATTTGATAGTTTAGATAGTCAGATCGAGCCAAAAACAAATAGCAGGGTACCTGTCCTCCGGACGACAATAATTCTTTACTTTCACTGACACCACGTTTTTGCTTTCTAAATTTTTTGGCTAAAAGACAGCATTTTCAAATATTGGAATTAGAATTAAAATCAAATTTACACAGCAATAGTAATGTCAAGGACATATATATTGTGATTGATTGATCTAATGATATATTTGATAATATTGTGATTGATTGATCTAATGATATCATTGATAATACATTCTAACAATTAACTTATACAGGATGTTATCTGTATCTGGAATCAGTGTGTATCATTTGTAAAAGACCATTGTAACCAACTGACATTAACATCCTCTCGTTATAAAGTAAAGATGGCACAAACTCCAATACCACACCTAACAGTGGGACAGTCGGTGAGAGAATGGAGGAGGAGATACCTGGCTGCTACAGCGACGCTGGCAGAGGCTCAGAAGAAGAGCATGATACCGGCTTATGTATTCAGCAGCTATGTTCTCTTAGCCGAAACTGCGATCAAAGAAGATACCCTAGAAAAAGCACTTAGTCTTTTAGAAGAATTGATAGATGGGACAGTGGGAAGAGTGTCAAGTGTGAATGAGTTTTGGGACCTGAAGCCGGCATCAAGATCATATACAGACATAGTCAGTTATTTCTTCTTACTGCAAAGCGAAGCAGATATAGCCAAAATAACACCTGACATGCTACTGCTGAAGTACTTGAAAGTCATACCAGATGGAGAGCAAATCTATGATGACAATGCTGACAAATTCAAACCGGACATGGACGCAGCAGCAGTGGTGGAAATTTTTAAGATTGCGAAAGATAAATTGACTACCCTAAAGAAAAGCACAAGTACACCTCAAATCATCAAGAAAGAGAAAGAAGATTTTGATGTATTTGTTGCAGATGAAATGCCAAGATGGGCAGAAGAACTGAGAGAGGGTTTGCACAATGTTCAAGGGATGCTGGGAATGTTTCAAGAAGAGGACGACCAAAACAATGATGGTGAGGACGAACAGATTGTTATGTACAACAAACCCAACTCACAAGCTGATGGATATAATGGCAAAGACAGAAAATGTTGGATATGCCTAGAAAACGGTCACTATGCCAACCGATGCAGCAAAAGAAAATGTGTTCGTTGTGGCAAAGAAGGACATCATGAGAAAAAATGCTATGTTAAATTGACCGAAAACAATAGCTCCAATAGCTCTAGCTCCAGCTCCAGAGGATATAATAGCCCCAGCCCCAGCTTGAGAAGGTCGAATAGCTCAAGTTCCAGAAGTTCTAGTAGCCCCAACTACTTCAAGTTGCCAAAGAAGAACAATTTATGACTATATGGCATCATCTCAGTGAACAATGTTGAGAAGGACGTGGACATACTATTTGACAGCGGAGCAGGGATATCAGTGATGAGTAAGGAACTGTTTCCTGAATTAGTATCCACCAAGTCCCATAAGGTTTATGGGATTGGAGGTGTTGAATATGCTGGAGAACCAGTTGAATGCAGGATTCTTATCAGTTCAACTTGGGAGACAAAGCATCTGGTCAAACCTCTGCCAATTCCTGACAGGGAGAATTTGTTGATTTTGGGTAGAGACTTTTTGCAACATTTTGGAACCACTGAATTTGACTGGACAAATCAGAGAGTGAGAATTGGAGAAGACTGGGTTTTCATGGTCTCCGAAGATCATACCAAAGATATCACCAGTATCATCAACAGATGTAAGATTGGTCAAGACCTGGCTGAAAATCAGAAAGAAAGCATCAAATTGTTGTTAGAAGATTTTTGCCAAGTTTTTGTCAAAAACAGCAAAGCTCCAAAGTTGTGCACCACTGAACTTCATCGTATCTTTAGTAGAGACGACCGTGTTAGTAAAGACAAGGTACGTAGAATTCCTGACAAATGGAAAAATGAAGTTAATCAACAAGTGATTGAGATGTTAAATAATGGAATTATCCGCCCTTCTAAATCTCCATACAATAGTAACCCTCTTCTCGTCACTAAACAGGACAATACTAAACGATTTGTCATAGATTTCCGTAATTTGAATAAGAATACGATCCAAGATTCTTATCCCCTGCCTGACGTGAATGATATGATTGATGCTTGTTTGAACTGTAACTACTTTACCCAACTAGACCTCGCTTCAGGTTACTGGTGTTTGGAGGTACATGAAGATGATAAAAAGAAAACTTCATTCAGCGTGCCTAATGGTAAATATGAATTCAATCGTATGCCTTTTGGACTTAAAAATAGCCAAGCAACTTTCCAAAGGAATATGGATAAAATGATCAATGATCTTAAAGAGAGAGATATTGATGGAGTTGGAGCATTTAGTGATAATGTTTTCATATTTTCAGAAACATTCGAAGAACACCTCTATGCACTAACTGCAGTGTTAGAAGAGGTAGAGAGGTACAACCTGTCATTGAAACCCGAGAAGTGTGAATTTGGATTCAAAGAAATAGACTTCCTAGGATTTCATATCAGACACAATGAAGTGTTACCCAGAAAAGACAATGTTCAAAAGTTGATTGACTTCCCGATCCCTCAAACTAAAAAGCAGGTTCAAAGACTTTTAGGTATTGGTAACTTCAACAGACGTTTTGTCCCCAAATATGCAGAGATAACAAAACCTTTAACCATGATTCTATCAGATAAAGAGAAGTTTGTCTGGGGTAATAAGCAGCAACAAGCTCTAGATCAATTGATAGACAGTCTCACCAAAGCACCAGCACTAGGGTTACCAGATTTCTCAAAATGTTTCTACATTCAATCAGATGCATCAGAAATCTCAGTGGGAGGAGTCTTGTTTCAGAAAGATGATAAAGGCCGGAATATCACGCTAGGATATCATTCCAAAACCCTACAGAAATGTCAGAGAAACTGGAAGGTAACAGAATTGGAGCTATTTGCTATCAAAGAGTGCTCAAGAAAGTGGGATGTGTATTGCTCAGGCAAAGTAATATTTATTACTGACCACGAGCCGTTGAAATTCATCCGTAATCACCAAGACAACAGAGGAAAGATTGTTAGATGGTTGTTAGAGCTTGAATCAATTGATTACACTATTGAGTACATCAAAGGAGAAGATAACGAGATTGCTGATGCCCTAAGTAGAGTAGAAATCAGAGAAAATCCTGTAAGCACAGAAGCGGATGGAGACGAGTATATCTATCATACTGATGATAAAACTGACTCAAAATACTGTGATATTGAAAAGATTAAAAAGTTTCAAAAGGAGGATAAAGCACTGCGATTTGTAGTGAAAAAGCTTGAAGAACAAAAGAAAGTAAATAAAGGTCCGTTCAGGAACATCAGGTTTCTCCACATTGAAGATGATGTACTGAAAAGAGGAGAAAGAATTGTCATCCCAGAAAAGCTACAAAGAGAAGTTGTAGATGAACTGCATGGACAATATCACTCAGGAGCAGAAAACACAGTGATTATGGTGAAGTCAAGATTTTGGTGGAGACGGATGACGAGCCAAATCGAAAACTGGGTACGTGACTGCCAATCCTGTGCTGCCTGTAAAAGACAAAAAACTCCTAAAGCGGAACTAATAATTACACCTGCAGTTCCAAATCCAAGAGAATCGATCAGCATAGACGTGGCAAGTATGCCAATATCCCCACGAGGAAAGTGCTGTTTCCTTTTAATTGTAGACTTAGCTACAAGATTCATCTCAGTAGCAGCACTCAGTAATCAGAAAGCTGAAACTCTGAAACAGGCATTGTGGGACAAGTGGCTGTCTATATTTAGCATCCCAATAAAGCTGAGATCAGATCAAGGAGCAAACGTCAACGGCAATGTGATCAATAATTTATGCGATTACTTGGGAATTGCCAAAGAGAAATCTTCCCCATATCACCCAGAGGGAAATGGTCTAGCTGAAAGATCAATCGGATCTGTTAAATCCTTAGTTAGTGTAATATGCGAAAGCAGGAAGATATCCGTACATGATTGGGATCTTATCATCTACGAAGCAGTATTGGCCCACAACAATACAGTGAATAAATCTTTGAAATATTCACCATTCCTTTGTATGTTTGCTGACCATGCTCAATTACCTGTTGATAATTACATGGGTTTAAAAGAACATGACAAACAGAAGTTGAGTGGGAAGATCATCATGCAGAATGCTGGCATCAACTTACAGGAAGCAAAAATCCAGTATAAAGAGCAGCATGACAAAAAAGCTGTTATAAACACATACTCAATTAATCAAGAGGTGATGATGAAACGTAACTACGGAGCCAATCCTAAAATAGCTGCCAACTGGAAAAGAGGACCGTACACAATTGACAAAAAGATGGGACCTTCAACCTATGCTATTAAAGGACCTAAAGGTGGTATAAAAGTCTATCATCACAACAATGTAATGCCAATACATGAACAACACGAAGCATCTAAAACCGCAAGCTATAATATGACAACGGAGCCCCAAGAAGAATTGATTGAATCTACTCCTACTATGCCTCAAATTAACTCTGAGCAGAACTTAGACGAAGATTTAGCATCTCGAGCAGATCCCAGTGAAGTAT